GGCATGCTAGTGAAAATTCTCGCAGTAGTAGATCACATTGACCACCTTCAGGAAACTTTCAATATTCTAAGGTCCTATTACATGAAGCTGAATCCTGAGAAGTGCGCCTTTGGCGTAGGGTCAGGAAAATTCTTAGGTTTCATGTTCAATCAAAGGGGAATTGAGGCGTACCCTGACAAAATCAAGGCCATCCTCGACATGAAGTCACCCTCCTCCACCAAGGAACTCTAACGCCTCAATGGGAGAATTGTAGCACTTAACAAGTTCGTTTTCAAGTCTGTAGACAAATGTATGCCTTTCTTCAAATTTCTTCGAAAGGCCTTCAAGTGGGGCCCTGTGGCAGAGGAAGCCTTCCAAAGGCTCAAAGTCTACTTGACCACGCCTCCCCTCATGTTACATGCTACTCCAGGAGAAATTCTGTAGCTATACCTTTTTGCTTCTCCATCGGCAATAAGCTCTGTCCTCGTCAGAAACAATGATGGAGTGCAGAAGCCTATCTGCTATGTGAGTAGAGCATACCGGGGGACAGAGGTCAGATATTCAGGGCTAGAAAAACTAGCGCTGGCCCTGGTCTCAACTGCAAGGTGCCTATGACATTACTTTCAGAGTCATAGCATTGTTGTCATCACAGACCAACCTCTAAAAAGAGTCTTGGGAAAGCCGGACGTATCTGGGAGACTCGTTAAATGGGCAATGGAACTCGACGAATTCGATATTCAGTACCAGCCAAGGGCGGCCATCAAAGCACAAGCCTTAGTAGATTTTATTGTCAAGCTTACACTAGTAGAGGAGGAGACCAATGAACTTTTCACACTTCAGACATTGGACTCGGGCACACAAAATAATCTAACACCCGATAGAGACACCCAAGAGCCCAGTCCAGACACCCAAGCGCCCAGACCTCCACCTCAAGCGCCTAGACTGGCGCCCAGACATCCTTCTCTGGCACCCAACCTAGCACCCAAACATCTCCCTCCAGTGCCTAGGCACCCCAGCCTAGTGCCCTGGCTCCAACAGAAACCTCTGAGCCTTCCTTTCTACCACTTTGGAAGTTCTACATAGACGGCTCCTTAACTAGTGAAGGGGGTGGAACAAGCCTAATCCTAATCAGCCCCGACCGCACTCCAATCAAGAATGTAGTAAAGCTCCACTTTACTGCCTCCAACAATGAGGCAAAATACGAAGCCCTCCTCTCTGGCTTAAGATTGACGGCTGAAATGGAAGCCCAACACCTCGCCACTTATAATGATTCTCAGCTTATAGTTAATCAATTAAAGGACGAGTTTGATGCAAGAGAAGCCAGAATGCAGGAGTACTTTGGTATGGTGAAAAGCTTAATCACGAAGTTCTAATACTTTCAGATCTATCACATCCAAAGAGAAGACAACATGGCCGCAGATGCACTAACCAGGCTTGCCTTATCCTTGGAAGCCTCACCAGGAAGACCAACATTCATTGGTCACCAGTTCGAACCAAGCAGACTAGATGTAGACATCGTAAAAGTCAACTGCACTTCTGCTAAATCAAACTGGATGACCCCAATAAGGACATACCTCTAAGAGGGCGTGCTGCCAGATGATCCCCTAGAAGCCAGGAAACTAAAGATGAGAGCCTCCAAGTTTACCATCTTATAGGACACCTTATACAAAAAAGGTTACTCCTTGCCATTGTTGTTGTGCCTTTCACCCGAAGATCCATGAAGGAGTTTGTGGGAATCACTCTGGAGGACACTCCCTTGCCCACAAAGCACTCTAATAGGGCTACTTCAGGCCTAGCATGGTAAGGGATGCCTAGGATTTCACTAAGAAATGTGACAGGTGTTGGCGCTTCGCCATTATGCCTAGGTTGCCGTTAGAGGAACTTACTGTTATCACCAATCTGTGGCCTTTCTCCAAATGGGGCATTGACATCCTAGGCCTCCTACCTCTCAGTAGAGGATAGTGTAAGTTCGTGGTGGTAACAGTTGACTACTTCATCAAGTGGGTAGAGGCCAAATCCTTAGCGAAGATAACAAATGCAAAGGTTAATGATTTTATTTGGAAGAACCAGGTCTGCCGCTTCAGGATACCTCATGCCATTGTAAGCAACAATGCCAAGCAGTTCAACAACAAGCTCCTGAACTCCTTTTGCTTCGATCTACAAATAAGGCAACCTCATTCCAACCCAGCATACCTGCAGGCAAATGGGCAAGTAGAAGTCATGGTGAGGACGGTGTTACGCAACCAAAAGACAAGGCTAGAAAGAGCGAAGGGTCTTTGGGTTGACGAGCTCCCAGGCGCACTGTGGGCCTACTAAACCACGCCAAGAACTCCAACTGGAGAAACTCTCTTTTCCCTCACCTTTGGAACTAAGGCATTCATCCCTGTGGAGATCAGGGTGCATTCTCTAACGGTCCAACACTATGACCCCATCACAAACGATGAAGGACTCTGTATTAACCTCGAATTGGTAGAAGAGGCAAGGGAAATGGTTGTGGTCTGCAATGCAGAGTACAAGTGCCACATGGCAAAATATTACAACTCGAGGATGAAGCCTCTTTCCTTCCGACCAGGAGACGTGGTCCTCAAGAAAGTGAGTCTCGCCACAAAGGATTCACGAGAAGGGAAACTGGGACCAAATTGGGAAGGACCCTATCTCATAATAGAAGTGGTGAGGCCATACACCTATAGAATACAGAATCCTGAGGGGAAGGTTTTGCCTCATCTGTGGAATGCTGAACACTTGAAGAGGTACTATCAGCGACAATTTGAGAGAATAGGAAAGTTAGGGACTTAATTTTATTTTTTGTACTTTTTGTGGGGCTATTACTCGATGTTGCTTTACATAAGCAGTGAAATGAATAAAATTTTTAGATTTACTTCAAAATACTTTGCATTTTTGCATTCAACTTCTAGATTTACTTCAAAAGAATTTGCATTTTTGTATTCAACTTCACATTAGTTCAGTGGTGAGAGCCACTTTTACAAAAGAAGGACTACAAAATGCTTTCCTAAAAAAAAAAAAGAAAATTAAAAGTCCCTAGCTACTCTCATGGTCATCCTCCTCTTCACCCTTCTCATCATCCTCTACCTCTTCAGATCCTCCATCAACCTCATCAGGCGCCTCAGTTGGCAATAAGCGTGAAACATCAATATCAGGGTAGACAACAGAGATCTTCCCTTGGAGCTCATCATAACCGTCAATAAAGGCATCTGCAAGGCCATTCTACAAGTCCCTCTCAACTATCACAGCCCTGTCTTCAGCCTGCGAATCTCTCTCATGAGCTGCCTCCGTAGCAACCTCTCTGAGCGAGGCCCTCTCGCGGGTCTTAGCAAGCTTAGCTGCATTGAGCATGGTCCCTTATAGGCCTTCACAAGCTCAGCCTCTCTGAGCGGGTCCCTCTCATGGGTCGCCAAAAGCTCAGACTCAAGCTCAGTTGCCATCTCACAGGCCTTCTCAAGCTCAACCTCTAGCTTGGCCGCCCTCTCATAGGACGCCGAAAGCTCAGTATAAGCCTGGTCACCCTCTCGCGGGTTACCACAAGGTTAGCATCAGAAGCCCTCCCAGTAAATTCAAGCTCGGTGATCCTTCCCTGAGCAGCTAGAAGCTCTCTTTGCACGACTTCATGATCATGTTTCAGCTTGTGATGAAGAAGGGTCCTTGAAAGTAAACACATAGATGCAGTTGAGGCCTGAAGAAAAATAAAAGGCAAAAGGATGTCAGACACTTATGGAAGGATGGGAAAAGAAGAAGATAATAAACCCTTACTTGAGCCCAGCTTTCCAGAAAAGAGTTGAGGATTCCCTCGGTGCCCAAGGAACTAATCTCATTCACATCATTAGGAAACACAAACCTCTCAAGTTGTTCCTTGATGACCCGTACGTTACCCAACATGGAGCTGGTCTGAGAAAGTGCCCCAGTAGTAGATGAGTGGGGGCAGAAGGTGTGGCCGACGAAAGAGATGCAGTTGAGGGAGTTTCTAACTGAGGAGACACCTCTAGAGGGGTCCCTTGATGGGAAGGCGCCTGAGGTACCACTAGAGATGTTGACCGAGGAGAGCTCACCTCAGATGGCACCATTGGAGAGATCGCTTGGGAGATGTCACCCGTCCCCACCACCTTGAGAGAAGGAGGCCTCCTATCGGAGAGGCGGGACCCAATCACCTCCCTATTTATCGCTGCAAAAAAAATTAAGTGTCACCTAGGTAAAAAAACACCAAGTAAAAGAGCGGGGTAGAAAAGATCAACTCACCATTCCTCTTCGAAGAGGAGCCATCGAACTTTAGGGAGGGAGCAGCGGCCTTAGCACGAACCGAAGGAGAAGCATTGACTCCTCCATCTTTGAGCATGAGAGCCCCAAAGTACCTTTTAAGATGAGCTCACACAGCCTTCAGCTTCCATTCTTGGTCCTTGGAGAGCACAGGAGAACCTGCAAGGAATAGGGTGAGTGCACACTCTAGAAGGAATGTGGTGAGAGAAGGGTAAGTATAGGGGGTATACCAACTTTTTTTAGAGTGACCCATCGTGATGGTACCAATGCCCTATCAACCTCTAAAGCCCACTCTCTACTGACGAATGTGAAATGAGACTTCCAACTGTGGTAGTTAGAGGGCAGTCTAGTAATCAACTTGCCCCCCTCGAAGTGAAATAGTACCAACCTCGATTAGGAGTGGGAGTCTCACTCGGATAATAAGTTGCGTGAAACTCGACAGGGGAGGCATCTTCGTGGTGCACCTTCCTCCACAACTCTAGAAAGGCGAGCAAAACCCTCCAACTATTGGGTGCCAACCGCCCAAGTGTTAGGGAAAAGTAATTCAAGATGCCACAAATGGAAAAAATTCATGGGGAACCTAAGCCCAACATCAAGCATCTCCTCATAAATGACTATGTCACCAGAGGAGTCATTACTAGCAGGCTCGCCCATCTCTACTCAATGACACAACACAACCGGAGGAATGTGGTAGGAAGAAATAATCTGCAAAATATCATCGTCTGTTTTAAAGTGCTAGAAAGGGAACTTACCTTGGAACCATCATCAGTAGGAGCCATTTTACTTTTGTGTTTTTTGTTGCAAGGGCATGAAAAGCTGTCTGAGTTACCAGAAATCTTAATTAGAGGAGTTCTACTCGAAGGAGGCAGATCACCTGTTACGGTGCCAAAACCGTCACCACGAAAAGTTCCCATCATCAACTGCATCTTGTTCGCTGCTAGAAACTCCTTGCCAAGTGCCTGGGATGTCCCGGTTACAACAACCAACTCAGCCCCCAACACCTGGGCCATCCTGGCCTTGGCGCCCAATGCCTGGGTCGCCCAGGATTTGGTACCTAGGCCTTGGGTCGTCTGACCAGTGGTGCCCAGCTCTGTTTCCTCTCTCTCTCTCTCTCTCTCTCTCTCTCTCTCTCTCTCTCTTTCTCTGTATGCACATGGGCGTCCAGCTCAATAGTTCATGCCATATCAGCGGTTGGAACCGCTTTCATGACCACATGGGCTGCTCACCCCTCACAAAATTGGAAAACTCTCCCATCTGACCCCACTTGGCCTACTCACCTAAAGGGGAGGGTTGTGGCATAGGTGCCCAAGCATGCTCGCCTCTCCTCCCTCGCATCAGCATGCTCGCCCAAAGCCCCCTCTCCATGAATGTGTAACCCTAGCACACCAAGAGTCGGCTCGCCCAGCAACTGTTTTGTCTGCCTCGCCTGGACTACCCCCTTTGCGCCGCAGAACACATCGTTGTCTCAGTTGCAAGAGCCTAGGCACCTAGTGCCTGAACAACTACATTTCCCAGCGCCTCCACAACAGCTATTGCATTGCTCACTGATCCTACACGCCCGCCTCTTCCTTGTGCACTAGCGCCATTGACAGGAGCAGCCCGCGAAGACTGCTCGCCTATGGCACAGACAACAGCGGCGCCCAGGGTCTGCTCTCCCACTACACGGGCAGTAGTGCCTAGCATCTACTCACCCAGCCCCTGCACACCCAAACCTACCTCAGCCTCTACTTGCTCTAGCTTGCCCACGCGAGTGCCTGCTCGCCCATTCTCGCACACACAGACAACGTTAATGGCCAGCGAGGTCCTCATATCCGTCTCCACTCCGCCTCCTTCGATCTCCACCACTTCGAAGGCCCTATGGTCACCGAACTTTGCGTCGATCACCCCATTCCCCAAGATATCAATGGATTTTTGCGCATTTCCCTCCTCAATCGGCATTGCCCTCTTAGATGCTTCACTCAAAAAATATCACCCGAATGTTCTTGTAAAGATTCAAGGAGATCACCCTCTCAAGTTTCTAGTTTCTATGGAATGGGTTGGACTTGGGCTCTCAAGGCTCTTAAGAAAGGGCTCAAGGTGAATGAAATGGGCAAGAATGAGGAAGGAAGCTTCTATTTATATCCTAGGGTTTTCAAAGAGAAAAAAAAAATCCAAATTGAAATCAAGGGCTCTCTTAAAAATCCAAGTAAAAGTGGAAAAGACTTGAGGGGTTCAGTAAGGCAAAATACATCAGGAATGTAGAAGGATCCTTGGTATCTGATTCAGAAAACTATTTAAGGTTCGGGGGCGCTGCCCCCAATCCCCTACCACCTGACCGGGCAGGTGGAATCCCGTGACTTGTCCGGGTAGGTCAATCCTCGAGTCGAAGCGCAACATAGACATAGCGGGAGAGGAGTCTTCATGAGCCAGAATTCAAATTCAACTAAATGCTCCCTTCTCCAAGTTTCATTAGACAAAAGGCATTGGGGGGCAAATGATGGGCTAAGCCAAAATGGCCCAATCCGTGTGGAAAGTCCAATCTTAACTAAGAGCCCAATCTTGTAAAGACCCACCAAGCCCAATGAGGTCCAAGTCCAGTTAAGCTCATCAGAGGCTACATTAGCTTGGCTACGTCATCAGGAGAGCATCCATGAGCCTCATCCATGCCGCCTGGAAATAGTCAATACCCCACGTCAACCTTTGACCGCATCTTATGGAAAGTCCCGTAACCACCTCGCCCGTTGAGAGGAGGACGTTAGATCTAACAAACTAGCCAACTAGTTGCTAATACCTCACCCAAATTTTTTAGGAGGGCGACTATAAATTGTAAGCTCCACCAACACTTGGGGGGCATGATCACTCTGTTGAGCACGACTCTCTCCTCTCCCTCTCAAACACTTAGAAAAGAATCAAAAGTAGTATTTAAGAGATAGTTTATGATGAAATAATCAGTACCCTACATGTTGCAAAAAACATCACTAATTACATATAACAAAACCAATTGTATACAGGTAATAGGAGAGTATGCAAACCAAATAGGTTTTTGAAAACACAACTTAATCAAACAATCACATAGACATTAAAACTCTTGTTTATAGTATAACCCTAATTCATAGGTTAAGAATCCTTTTTCAGATTATTTAGAGAAAGACTACTCACTCATGATAATGTAAATAGCACAAGAAATTAAAGAGAGCACAATTGAAGTAATTCGTGGAAGTAAAGATTGGCTTAAAAGTAATTGCTTGTATTGAAAAATTGAATTGAAATAACAAAGCTTTGGATACTAAAGACAACCGAATGCAAAATTGTTAGAACAAATGAAAGAACATAACTTAAAAATAAAGAACAACAAAAAAGCTTTGCAATAACCCTAACACTCTCTAAACATAAAAACAGAGAAAAATTAAAAAAGAATCCAAAACCTAATGTCTATTTTCCCCAAAATGGTCTTTTATTTATTCTGGTTGGAAGGAGAATCTTTAGATCTTTGACATATATCCATCCCAAAATTATCTCATCCTCTGATTGATTGAGATTCCCCAAAAAGATTGATGAGATATGATCTTTAATTGAGCTTCCCGTGAAAATCTGCCTTCACATACTGATAGCAATTCCTTCTGTGGCACGACCTATCGGTAGAACAGTAAAACCCACTGGTAGCACTTTGTTATAATCAGAGGGAATTTTTGTTGAGGGCATTTGTAAGAGAGGTTTGTAAAATCAAAGCTATCCATGGAGGGTGGTATAGTGGAATGTTTGTTATGCAACAATTTTTGTTTCTAGAAAGACCATTCCTACTACACAGAAAATTCCAAATGCTAATGCGATTTATGCTAATTTTTGCATAGAATAAATACCTATGAAAGAGGAGCTTGCAGGATGTAAGTCTAAATTGAGCGTTGGGTGTCCCAACAACCATGATGCTAATTTACTTTAACCCTCATACACATCTGTTTGACTGAAGTTTGTAGGTAGCTCACTGAAAACCTTCACGAGACAAAACTCGTCCACTAGGGATCACCTTGGAGTTTAACGGCTTATTGCATATGCTAGATGCAATCGTGTTATCTAAAAAAGTGATTTTGTTATGTTGTTATTTATTACTAGGGACTAGTAATGCTTAGGTTGGGGGGTGTGATTAACCCTAATTAAATTAATAGGTCAATTGTGTTAGTTAAATAAAGTTAAACTAATCAAAATAAGTCAAATTAGGGTTAGTGTGTGAATTAGGGATAATTCGTTGATTGTTGTTCTTTTCAGGGTTTTTTTAATCAAAGCTAATAACTATTGGGGAGCCAATTGCATCAAAGGTACAAACTATTAGGGAGCCAATTATCAGAGCTACAAACTATAAGGTGCCAATTATTAAAGCTACAAACTACTGGGGAGCCAATTATCAAGGCTACAAGCTATAGGGTGCCAATTATTAAAGTTACAAACTATAGGGTACCAATTATCAAAAGTTCAAAACAAAGGGGGATCAAAATATAATTCAAAGCCCTCCCTTTTTGCCTATAAATACCACCCCTTGGGTCTTGTAAAGATCATCTATTTTTTTCTTGTATCATCTTTCTTGTAAGGAGCATCTTTTGATAGTGGAAAACCCTCCAAAAGTCATTATTGCTTTCTTGTAAAGTGCATCTTTTGGTAGTTGAAAACCCTCCGAAAGTCATTATGGCTTTCTTGTGTCATTACTTTCTTGAAAAGAGTACCATTTGGTAGTGGACAACCCTCCAAAAGTTTTTATTGTTTTCTTTTCTTGTATGATTGTTTTTCTTTTAATTCATTGCTTTCTTTTATTGTATTATTGTTTTCTTTTGTTGTATTATTGCTTCCTTTTAATTTATTGCTTTCATTTATTTCCGTTGTCTTGAGCTTCCTTCTTTCCGTAGAGGAGTGAAACTCTTCCACTTTTTAGAGCTTTACCAAAACCGTGAAGGGTGGAACGTGATTCACTCATTCTTTGTCGAAGATTGACTTCGTGTGTAATATGTTTTACCTTGCAAATCCTCTACTTGGAGGAATGAGCATCATTCACTTTTCTACCTTTACCAAAGTCATGAAGAGTGAGTAGTTTCTCATCCAATCTTTAGTAAGAGGTGATGGACATGTATAATCATCCAGAAGTTATAATTGTGCATTTCGTTTATGCTTAGCTCCAATCTTCATTTCTTCATAATTTCTTCTCATTACATTGTTGTCTTTACCTTAAGCATGAGTAGCTAAGCCTTTAAGTTGGCTAATCCAAGAGAGACCTCCTCTTGGATATGCCATTTTAACTCATTTTTCTTTCTCCACTCAGAGTACGATGGTTTGGTTTGACTAGGTAGAGGCTGGACGAGATTGTGAGTCTTTGATATCCTGTAGACTTGTCATGGGTTATGCTTTGATCCTCACTTCCATCTCGTCTCTAACTTCACACGAATCAATTGTACATCTATGCTATATTGGAGGAAGGATTCAATTTGACTTGGTAATCCCATTGGAGTGAACCCTTTGGATTAGCCAACATTTTTCCCATTCCAATTTCGTTAAGTCAAAATCACAAACCAAACTTCAACAACAAAAGATTTTACACTTTGTTTTTAACCAGAATCACCTTCAAAATGATTCTCCTCCTTCCCTGAGGAGACGACCTTAGAATACGATTCCAAGTAAAACACAACAAGCAAAAATCTCTCTACGTTGGAGAGCATTTTTGTTCACACACACACACATTTAACATTTCATTAATCCACCATTCTGTTGCTCTTTTTTTTGACATCATTCCAAGGAAGAGTAGCACTCCCCTTCACACACACCATACATACATTAAGGGATGATGTTTGGAGATTAGGATATTACAACAGAAATGATCAAACACCTCTCTCCCAAGGGATAGGCTACCATGATTAGCTTTTTTCTTTTCTGGTGCTTGCGAGGTAATGACGAGTTTCCCACAGTGGCCGAGTACCTATATTTTTTTGACCTTGAAGAGGATGAGGTCCCAAGCTTCAGTTGTTTTTGATTGAGGCACTTTAAACTGTGATGTCTAGTGCTTGACCTTCTTTCTCCTCCTGAGGGATGGGCTCAGTGTTTCTTTTTTGTTTCTGGGGACTCTTGGAGGTCCACTGAATTGTGCTAAAAGAGTGCAGAGTTCCTCGGTCCTGAAGGAGCTATTTTGATACAGGTTAGTGTCCTGATTGCCTTCACTGGCTAGGCTCTATTATGGCGTGCCTTCATCAAAATTTTTTTTTTGCTTTGTAGGTGCCCCTGACTCAGACCTGGTAGAGGCGATGAGAGTTGAACAGATAGTCAACACTAAGCTTATGTCCTTCCTTGAGCTAATGACATCAGGCAACCTCTTTTTGTTTAGCATTGCGAGAGCTACTATGGATTTTGTTTCTTTCCTAGACTCTGATCCTTCTCCTTCAGAGTCCGATGAGGGCGAAGATGTCAGTACCTCTCCCAGGAAGCGTAAGAGGGGCGGTTCTCTAGATGAATCTTCTCCTTCGTCATCTTCGCTTGGAATTGTTCTTTTCTCTTCAGCTGGACAGAAACTTATAAATCTTCTTTCAGAGGTGGAGAAGGAGAGAGATGAACTAAATGAAGAAAATGTTTGTTTAAGAAAGGAGGTGGCTGAGCTCAAAAAATGCCTTCAGGGCGATTAAGAACTTCCCTTGTATTTCTTTTGCTT